TGGGTTAAGAAAACTTTCAGAGATGATTCTTAGGCTGTCTTAAGCAGTGACTAAGAAGAGGAAGTATTAAGATGGAGTCTAAGGGAAAGGTTGATTCCTCAGTTACACTGAATATTCTCTACAATTCAATCTCTGCTTACCTTAGCAACTTCTCTCTTGAATCTCCTAAGCAAAACTTCTATATCCAGACTGGTTTATTCACTCATCTCTTAGAAATACATATTTTTAATTTCTCTTTGTTATTACAGCTAAAGCTATCTTTGCCCCGATCCTGGCACTAAAACCTGTCCTTTCTTTAAAGCCACCAAGTTTAACCCTCTTTAAACTATAAGAAGGGCTCATAGCTCCATCTTTTGACCTTTTCCTGTATGGAGTCTGGGGTGGTTTAACTACTGTTGACTGTACTTAAAAATCACATTAGAAGCAAACTTCTGACCATATTTATGAGAGCATTCCTGGAAACCTTAATAAAAAGGAAGACTTTTTCTGAATGGAGGAAGAACCACTCTGTAGCCTGGGATCTAGACTGAACAAAAAGGGGGAAATGAGCAGAACACTGGTACTCCTCTCTCTCCCTCCTCACTGTGAGGGAGTGTGATCAGCTACCTCAAGTTCCTGCTGTTGGACCTTTCCTGCCATGGTGGATGCTGCCCTCAAACTATAAACCAAAATATACCCTTCCTTCCATAAATTGTTTCTGTCAGTATTTTGCTGCAGTAATGGGAAAAACAACACATGGTCAGGCTGGCATGCTCTTCCAGGCATCCCTCTTTCTTTGCCTTCTTGCTACATACATACTCTCAGTCTTTAACCACATGAACCTATGCAATGAGATTTAACCCTCTGCATGTGAATACTATGTCTCTATTGTACTGTAAATTCCATAATGGCTAAACTTCCTATAGCCAGAGAAAACAGAGCAAAGATAGAGCACTATGGTCTCCAGTCTATTTATCAGATGCAGAAAGGAACAAATCAGGAAACTTAGCAACAACTGCAGACAGTGGTTAGGGGAAGAACATGACTAAAAAATCATAAGTACTCAGATGTAATGTACTCAGATGTACTGTTCTATTTTCAGGTTCTCACCTTGATACGCCTGCAGATCTACCAACAGAAAATCTAAAAACTTTCCACAGTGGATTTTCTAATTCTTTTTGCACACATCAAATCTGTCTAGGAAATAAGGCATACTATAGCAAAATAAAAGCCAAGGGAAAGGTTAGCAACCAACTCCTTAGGTACTGTGATAGGAGGAAATATCTAATACAGTAGACTGAACAGACCTAGAGTAGAATCTTCTGAATCTTACTGGCCTTAGATCTTGGGCAAGTCTTCAACTTCCCTCAGATAACTCCTCAAATAGTGTAGATTAAATACCTACCACTAAAGGGTTCTATAAGAACTAAATAAGCCTATGTGACTATAAATAGAGACTCATTTAGCCAGGGCAAAATATAAAATACAAGTACAAAATACATAGTAATTATCACTCTTCCAGAAAGGTACTTCCTTAATTATTCTTTATGAAAGTGTTATGTTAACTATCTATTCCTTCCTTTGAAAGGCCTCTGAAGACTGTAAGGAATTGGAGTGTCTCTTCTTCCCTTTCTAAAGATGGCAGGTTGGGAGTAACTTGCTGAAACCCACTGAACCCTTATGTAGGAATACTGGAAGCCTCTATTACTCAGTTGCAGTAGAACCTTTGTGCTCAATCTTTGGTACAGAGAATAAAAATTAGATTAGTCTTATCATACTGTTTAAAGTAATAAACCTCGACAACTTTAAGATCTCTAAATTTGATATAGGAAAAAGTGAAAGCCTTCAAGTACAACGAAGTTGTACTTAAAGGATAAAAGAACTGTTCAACCTTTGAACATATTTGAGATGATGACTACTGCCTTCGACAATTATTTAGATCACTAGCTAATCAAAAACTGGCATAGAGAGATAGCTCTGCAGTTAAAAGCATTTGCTGCTCTTGCAGAGGACCTGGGTTCATTTCCCACTACCTACTCATATAGCTCACAATCACTGTAATTCTAGTTCCAGGGTTTTTAGCACCCTCCTCTGGTTTCTATGAATATCAGGCACACACATGGTATACATACTAATGCAGGGAAAGCACTCATGTAGATAAAAATTTTTAAATCTTTTATTTAAATGACATAAATTATTTAAAATAACATGAGGAATGAGCCCAAGAACAAAAGCAGAACAGCCTTCTGAAATCAAAGACTGCCACGACATTCCTTACGATGATAAGGAAGTAAGCACAGGGCAAAGGCCACACTACACACCATTTCCTTTTCACTCCTTAGACACTCATTTCATTGTTGTGGTTTTCCCATGATTGTGGGTTTGTTTGTCTGCTTTTTCAGTCGGCTCATTTGCTTTACAAAGCTGCAAATATCCAAGATTCTTGTCTGACACTATTCTGGCACAAAGAAGTAATCATACACACATTAACCCAGCTAAACCAGACAATGCTGCTTATAAGCAGAACTGTATACTGAGAATCTCATATTTCTCCTGTAGAAAGAAAGACTTCTATGGTACTACCAAAATTACCCGGATTTTAGTGGTAATTGCTGACTTCTTCCCTGTGTATCTTCAAGATGTCACCATGAAGACTGTGAACAACAAACAGTGCCACAGACCAGGAGCCAGCTCTGGGAAATGCTAAGCAGGAACTTGGTACCTTTTCTTATTTACTGAACCAATAAACTTCCAATGATTGATTTTACCAAACTCAATCCTAAATTTGTAATTACTTTTTACTAGGGAGTTCAACGATTCACATCACTTTGATGGCTAATCTTGGTTTTCAATTTTACTGTATCTAGAATCAACTAAGAGATTAGCCATGAACAAACAAATAAGGGATCTTCCTGATCAGGTTATTTCAAGTGGAAAGACCCATCCTAAACTATAGGCAGTACCTATCATATTAGTCTTAAAAGTCAATAAATATTGAGAAAAGAATTGTATAAAATAAGAAAATTAAATACAAGACATATTGAAAAGCCTTTGAGTGAAAGTTTCTGAGCTTATCTTAGGTTTCTATTGCTGTGACAAAACACAGTGACACAAGAAACTAAGGGTGAGAGGATACATTTAATCTTATTCTTTCAGGTAACAGTCCACCAAGAAGAGAAGTCAGGGCAGGAACTCAAGGTAGGAGCCTGGAGGCAGGAACTGAAGTGATGCCGCTGACTGGCTTGCTCCTCAGGACTTGCTCAGGCTGCTTTCTTACAATCCAGGACCACTTGCCCACGGTACTGCCCACAATGAGCTGGACCCTCCCACATCAATCCTCAATCAAGAAAATACCCCACAGGCTTGCCTGCAGGCAATCTGATAGAGGCATTTTCTCAACTGAGGCTGGAGCTCCTCTAATCAGATAACTCTAGCTTCTGCCAAGTTGGCAAAAAAATTAACCAGGAAAGAGCTTCTGCATAAACCACAAAGATTAGCAATGAGTTACGCCTATAAAAAAGGCCAACTTCCAATTTCCAATACCAGGAAGACTAATTCTGAAAGTTGTGCTTTATACAGAATAATCTACCAGCAGTGGTTAGGCTATTGCAAACTTCTAGATGAGAAAAGTTGGCAGGCTATTCTAAATAGAATGGAAATTACAGTAACCAAGGATTTATTCAACTCTTGGAATACAGTATTTATCAGAACTTACAGGGGTCAATCTAGCCATTCATTCACTAGTGATAACAGTAGTCGCCAATACACATTGCTAACCATGTCAAGATGATGTTTTAAGTATTTTCCAGGGAGTCGCTGGCTTCAACCTAACACATGGGATGTGTGAAACACTGCATTTCATAACCATCTCCATTCTACAGAGAAGAAACTACAGCATCCATCATTAAATTTCTCTGCCAATAAATTAAAACCAACCGGGCAAACAAACAAACAAATAAACAAAAAAAAAAACACAAAACAAACAAACAAAAAAACCCAGCTGGTAAGGTGTTGGATAAAAACCTGGCCATAAGTGGTTAACCCTAAACCTAAAATGTGACAGCCATAAAGAAAACAACAAGGTCCAAGGGAGACAGTGGCACTATGGGGTGACGTCAAAGGCCAGGCCAACCATGAGAATCAATGAGGGAGATCGCACGGGAAGACTGAGTGGGAATTTTCCTGTCAGAATCGTATGAAGTGTTTTAAAAATTGTTTAATCCATACTGAATCCAAATCCCTAATGGAGCTAGAAAATAGCATTTTCGTTTTAATTTGTTTATTAAAAAAAAGTAAAAAATAAAAAGGTCCAAGTAATTCTGGGATGGCACTAGGTCTGGAAACTTCTCTAACAGGTCTCCTCCTGCTTTACAATTCCAGTTGACACTGTAAATTAATTTGCCAGAAGTGCAGACAGGGACCCTAGCACCCGGGAAAATGCTGTGCACTCCGAAAACTACGCCGTTTATTGCTCTCGTTTTTACCTGAATGGGCGCTCAGAGAAACAAGGATGAGGCGGGCAACTGAATAACGGATGTGGCGTCTACTACAGGCTGACTAAACGGGGCGTTTTTCTAGACTTTTCTATTGATGCCAGCAGGGGGGGGGGGGGGAGCCCTTCCTGGCCATAAATGGCTGTGATAACTCGACTGGGTTGTGGCCGTTATCTAGCTAACAAAGGATGCCAAGGGACTCTTCGTGCCCGACAGCGTTCGTGGAAGCGCCTTGGTCGGGCCGGCCTGCTCTCCAGCCAGGTACACCCGGCTCCGCAAAACCAACGAGCTCAGCAATGACTCCCTCCACGTCCCGCGCCTACCCGAGGGTCCTCTCGTCAGGTTGATCTCTTCCTCCGTGACTAAATAATCCACCCGTCCATTCATGGCTGATTGCTCTCCGGGCGGAAGCCCGGGGTCAGCTGGTGCCCGGCGCAGGTGAAGGTGAATCAAGCTCCGCGCCGCGTCCCCAGCATAGCGTTTACAGTTTCCTCCGCCGCCAGGCCGGAAGAGGAAACCGCGGGCACGGGGAGCGCGGAGGATGCTGGGAGTGGTGGTTCTCCGCACGCACCGGCGTTTTCCGTTACCTCGCCCGATTCCCAAGGCAGATAGATACTGAGGTGCCATGGATAAGGTACAACGCTCGCCTACGGTGGGAAAGCATGTGGGAAGGAAGGCAGAGAGAAAGAGAGGGCAATAAAGTTATGGGTCATAATTAGATTGATACTGTTGATATTTTAAATAAAATCTCAAAGTATCCACAAATGTAAAATAGAGAGGAACAGAAGGGAGGATTTCAATCTTACGAGCCTCAAGCCACACTGGGAAAGGCATAGCAGGCGAACATATTTGGGCAAGAAATTGGTACCATTTGTGTGATTTAGGCACAGTCCAATACATCCATGACCCATGGGGGAAAGATACAGCTTCTCTATCTCTCTGTCAAGCAAGTGTTCACTTATTAAAACAAGGCACTTAACGTTAACACACGTGACAGGAAAATAAGGGGCACCATCTTCCTTGAAATTTACATCACAGGTCTTGTTTCCCAGGACCTTAAGGAAAAAGATTCTCTGGATTATAGCTGACAAGATGCTTACTTAACTTCTAAAAAGGTGTATATATTCCTGGGTTGTGTCTGGTGGCAGGCTTATCTAACTTAAGAAATGTGTATACATACAAAGATACAGAGAAAGGATAATTAAATTATAGGCTTGCTCAAGAAAAATCCTCCAAAAAGGGGAAGGGGAAATGTCATTTCTTTTTGACAAGATGATTGCAGGACTTAAGATGTGACTTTTCCGGCCATCTTGACTTTTAGGATAGGACATTCCAAACAGAGCTTGAAGGAACTTTCAGGGATCAAAACTATAAAAGCCTTAGGAACCAGGAAATGCGTAAGGTGGCAGACAAAAGGGTTAGAGAATTGAAGAAAGCATAGTCAGCATAAAGGTATTCAACCTTACAGCTAAAAATCAAGCCAGCAACTGCTGCTTATTAAAAAAGCAAGTGAGAGGTGGATTCTATGGGAATGTGTCAGGGTGGGAAGACAAGGAACCCATGAGACGTGGGAGGGGAAGGAGCATCATCTCAGAGTCTGATGAAAACCTCTTACCAGCTCTCCAAGGATTCTATCACAATTAACAACATTTGCTGCAAAGGTTGCTGACATATAGTTAATGTTTCTTTTCTGCATAAATATTGTATGTAAAATTGGCAATGGCCTAAGCTTAAAACCCAGTGTATATGGCCTGGGGCACGGCTTCATTCCTTTGTCTAGAAATTGCCTGAGAATCTCAAACTAAATGTAACTTTGTCTACAGAAGCATATCCTACCCTCCTTTATGTTTGTAGAACTACACCCTACTCTGTCCACTGTAATCCTGTCAGTTACCCTCTACAGCCACATAGTAGTAAGATAACTTCAAACTCCACATAAATCTCATCTATGACTACTGCAGAAGCAATGAGCACATGTTATTGAGAAGCCCATAGACGCACGCTCCACTGTGCCTTATTTACTTCTGAGTGTGTTATTTCCTCATCATAAGCCTGAATTAAAATATCTTGAGTAAAACTGTCAACTCTGCTATTGTACTGACTATCCTTGAAATTGGTTTTCATCATCATCATTAGTCATGAATACTGGTTTGGCCCCTTAAAATTCTAGGGACCCCTTGAGTTTGCAGAGGGTGACATTGGGGATCTGTACCTATTTTACCTCTGCTCCCAAACATTGACATGAAGACCTCTAATTTGTTCCCCCAAACTGAACATGAAGTATGGGAAGAAAGCAGATGATGATGCCAACCATGCTGACCTCAGCTTTCAATTTCACCTCTTCTACTTGTCTGGCTTAGAGAAATAATCTAACATCTCCAAACTTTTAGAGGTAGAGAAACAGTTTGGCATCATTTTTTAAAAGAGGTTTCTCCTTTTTACAGCAAATCTTTATTAATTTTGATGGTATCCACAGTTTTTCTTTTCCTGTGGAAATAAGACAAAACCCCTTCCCCAGTGTAGCATATCTCCTGGTTTCCATGTGAGGTCAACACATCCTTGAAATACATTGGTAGATTAAATTTAGAAGTTTTTTTTTTATAACCCAATGCCTCTCTGCTGCTGTTGTTCCTTTGTCATTAGCGTTTAAAAAATTAAGGTAAATAAAGCATTATGCAATCTTTTGAGGGGATATTTTCCATCCCTTTTTGTTTGTACAGCATATCCTTTATAGTATGATTTGACCTTTCTATAACTGCCTAACCTGTAGGATTATTTGGTATACCTGTAATGTGCTTTATATTGTAATAGGTAAAAAAAGTTTCATCTTTTAGATGCATATGCTGGACCATTGTCTGTCTTTAATTGTGCAGGAATGCCCATGATAGCCATAACTTCTAATAAATGTGTGATTACTGAATCAGCCTTTTCTGAGCTCAAGGCAGTTGCCCATTAAAAACCTGAATACATGTCTATGGTATGGTGTACATATTTTAATTTACCAAATTCCATAAAGTGGGAAACATCCATCTGCCAGATCTCATTTCTTTGAGTACCCTTTGGGTTACTCGCTTCAGGCAATGGTGTTTGGTTATAGAAAGAGCAAGTAGGACATCTCTATATAATCTCCTTAGCTTGTTGCCATGTAATAGAAAACTCCTTCTTTAAACCTTTGCTATTGACATGATGTTTTTTATGAATTTCTGAGGTGCCTGCAACATGCTTCTAATCAATAATTGATCAATTTCTGCATTACCTTTGCTAAAGGACCTGGAAGACCCATATGGGATCGGATGTGTGTTATGTATATAGAACAAAGCCTATTTCTGATTATGTCTTGCACCTGGATGAATAATGAAGTTAATTCTGTATCATCTAGTATAAATTCAGCAGTTTCAATATGCAAGACAACTCTTTCTGCATATTGTGAATCAGTAACTATATTGAGAGGTTCTTTAAAATCCCTTAGTACCATAAGAATAGCATGTAATTCTGCCTTCTGGACAGAATTATAGGAGCTTTGTTCCACCTTACTTAATTCTTCTGATTTGTAACCCGTCTTCCCTGATTTATTAGCATCAGTATAAAATGTACGGGCTCCAGTTATTGGTGCATTATGTACAATTTGGGGGAGAATCCAAGAAGTTCTCTTTATAGGGTTAAATCTATCACTTTAGGGAAAATTGCTATTAATTTCTCCCCCAAAATTAGCACAAGTCCTTTGCCAGGATTCATTGTCTTCCCATAACTTTTTTATTTCATCAGCAGTAAAGGCACTATAATCTCTGCTGGGTCTATAGGAGAAATCTTGAAAAAAAGGAGAGAGGAGTGAGAAAAGGAGAATGAGAAGAGGAGCCAAGAGCCAGCCACACAACCACAGCCTCACAACCAACCCTGGAGAAAGAAAGAAAGAAAGAAAGAAAGAAAGAAAGAAAGAAAGAAAGAAAGAAAGAATAAAGACAGGCAAAAATCCCAGAGCAAAACATAAAGAGAGGGGATAATTTAAGTTAGAAAAGCTGGCTAGGAAGAAGCCAAGATAAGGCTTGGCATTCAGAAGTAAGGATAAATCTCAGTGTATTTATTTGGGAGCAATTACACTGTGCATTTACTATTTTGACTGCAATACACTTTTTTTTCTTGCCTTTATTGGTTTATGTTCTGTGTGTCTCTTGTGTCTGGATAGGCTTCTATTTCCCTATATTTGGAAATTTTTACTTGTGATTTCATTAATAAATAATTTCATTCATAATTAATTAATAATTTTATATCTAGTTGAAATATAACTCTGTATATCTAGAAAATTAACTAGCATGACTACAAGTTTGACTATTATAAATAAGTATGTATTAATCTGTAATTTTTAATTATACATTACATTTTTAAATAAGCTGTATTAACATAATACCTTAAACAGGAGAAGAAAATATACATATAACAAAATTGGCCTGAAATTTGTATTAATGATTCAAAGTCCACACCAATGTAAAATACCCATTTCTATATCATATTGTCCCCCCTTTTTTTAGCAATTGATGGTGGCCATTAACCACTTATAATCAACCACATTTAAATGAAAACAAACATTTATAACAATCATTTTGGAAATTTGGGCATCGTTTTCTCCAAAATGCTTCCTGCTATTTGTTGGATGACATACCTTTAGGATTCACAGAGACATTTCGGGGAGTCTTTATCCATCAAGCCACGTTAGTATTTAATTCATTCACAGATTCTCATACTCTGTGGAAAAGCAGAACCTCTTTTCCAAAGTAACATATCCTTAGACTCAAATTTTGAAGTCAAGATATGTTGGTTTAGCTTAGCAGCCCCCACAATCAAATGTCTCTCTGGAGTTAGCTCATTAACAGTCAAAAATTTTAAAGAAATCACAATAATATACATAATCCAGACTCTGTGTATTTTCCATCTTTCGTGGCTTTTTAAATATTACTTTTACTGTCTCTTTAGAGACTTTTTTTAAAAAAAATACTTTTTTCTCATTTTACATATCATTTCCAGTTCCTGCTCCCTCCCCTTCTCCTATTTCCTCCACTCCCCCATCCTGCTTTCACACCTTAGAGAGAATAAAGCTTCCCATGGGGAGTCAACAAAGTCTAGGACATTGCTTTGAGGCAGGACCAACTGGGGGTTACAGTTTAGTATAAGAACTTTGGGATTTGTGTGACTGGAGTCCATGCTGCCATTCCCTTCCAGACACCAGTTGCCACTGGTGCTGTGGGCTGGCCTGACAGCTGAGATCTGGCTACCCCCTGAGCAGGCCTCTAGGTCACTTCGTATGTCAGGGAGTCACACCACATGTCCCATGGGCTTCCCTTTGGCTTTTTCTTTGGCCAGAAACACTTCATTCCTTATCAGAGGGCAGGATGCTTTGTGAGCTCAGTTGTCAAGATTGTGCAGGTTCTGATTGTGCAGGTTCTGCTGTAGCCAGGTTTGAGGCACTGTAACTTTTTACGAGGCCTTTAAAGTACAAACTCTGCTGCCAGAAAAGTAGGAAGGTCACTGAAGAAAAGGAGATTGAAGAGATTTTTTGGGAACTTCAGGTATAAGAGGTATATTTTCCTTTCAAGTACATTTGCCAGTAGGCAGACAGCTGCTGGCAGGCACTAGGCATGTACCAACACACGCTGGCAGCACCCAGACATAGGTACGCATACAGGGAGGCACACAGGCTGGATGAAGATGGATACACCTGCCTAAAGACACACATAGGCAGGCTGGCAAAAGCAAAGGCCCTTACCTCTGGCCTCAAGGCCCAGGTGTGATCTGATTTTGTGCTGATTTAGAACCTCTTAAAGTACAGCAGTAGCCATCTTGGCTCATGTCAGATACCCATAACAGTGCCATGTTGTTGAAACACAGATTGGCTCTAATGGCCATCTGTTTCCATAGAGGAGGAGGCTGAAGTATGTGGTAGTTGGCATGATCCCAAAGGCAGGGCACTGTAGCAGTTTGGCCATAGGTTGAGGAACTGCCAGTGTGGGAGTTCGGTGCAATGATAGTGGGGCCTCAGAGGTGAAGAAATGCAGAGACTCTGGCCTTTGTAGTAGGACACTCTCACAGGTGATCTAAACCTGGAGTACTGTTGACCTTATGAGACACTGATGTGCTACCTACTACACTAACAAGGCACCTAGGAAATTGTTCTGGACTTGAAGACTTGTTATGGTTTGGAGCCTGTCTCACAAAGGGCATGTGATAAAAGATTTAGTTACCAGTCTCTGGCTTGGTTGGAAGATAGAGCCTTTAGAAAGTGGCACCAAAAGGAAGACATATGCCTTTGAGGGCTTTCCCTGAAGGGCATATTGAGATCTCCAGCCTCCTCCCCTTCCTCTTCCTTTGCTTCCAGCCACAAGGAGGTGATGTGCTCCCCACCATGTTGCTCTGCTTTGCCCTGGGCCAAGAAATAATGGAAGCAAACAATTGCTGGGTAAGTCACCTGAAGCAATGAGCCAAAAGCAAAGCATTGCTCACTGTTTTTTGTTGCTGGTATTTTGATACATACACAGAAATATAACAGAGAAAATTGCTGTGAAGAGTGTGTTCTTGCCAAGACTAAACATAACAGGTGGTTTGGAGCATTTGCAATTCATTTAAGAGCACCGTGTGGAAAGATCTGGGAAAGCAGACTACAGAAAGCCTAGAAGTAGTAGAGGTGAGGGGCCAGTTCTAGTGAGGGCTCCAAAGACCAGAACGCTGACTGGAAGGCAGAAAGCAAAGACAATGATGACGTGTCAGGCAGAAATGAAGGTTCTGCTAGAACCAGACCTAGAGCTCATGTATATTTCATTTTGGCAAAGAACTTGTTTACATTGTGTCTATTCTCTGAGACTTTGTGGGAAGCTTGATTTAACAGCAAAAAATAATAGGGAGAGGGAGAAGGAGAGAGAAGGAGAAGAAGAAAAGAAAAAGGAGGAGGAGGAGGAAGAAGAATGAGAAGAAGGAGGAGGAGGAGGAGGAGGAGGAGAGGAGGAGGAGGAGGAGAGGAAGAGGAAGAGGAAGAGGAAGAGGAAGAAGAAGAAGAAGAAGAAGAAGAAGAAGAAGAAGAAGAAGAAGAAGAAGAAGAAGAAGAAGACCAAAAATTAGTTTAATTAGGTGGAGATGCCAGAATGTAAACCACCTTCTGAGGGAAACAACAGACAGTGAGCAGAACCAATCCAAGAGTGGTCATCTGGGCTACACACAGCAAAGCATTTAGGGAAAGGGCTACCCAGGCCCTCTGTAGTTAATGCCCTGGATGCTGGATATATTACTGAAACATTTACTGTTTGGTATGTTGGGTTTAGTGTTGCTTCAGTCTAAACCTATGTTCCTGTGCCCCAATTCCTGTCATTTGTAATGGGACTGTTTAGCCTGTGCCATTGTATCTTGTTGTGTCACGCACCTTACTTGTCTGTTTAAACAGGGGCTCATAAATGATATGTGTTAAGGAAGACTTTGGACTTGGATTTTTCAGCAATACTAGAACAGGTAAGACTTTGGGAACTCTTGAAGACAAACTAAATGCATTTTGCATTCTGAAATAAAAATAATCCTATGGGGGGGCAGGCACAAGATATCTTACATATCTCAGATGACGTATACTAAAGGTTTGATTCGCAGCCTATGGCACCACTGGGAGATGACAGAATCCTTGGGGAGTGAGACTAGATGGAAGGAAGTTAATTCATGGAGGATGTACCCTTGAAGACAATATTGGGATCCCAGCTTTTTCTCCCTCTCTCAGACTGCTCCTGGCCACCATGAAGTAAACAGCTCCCAAGCATGGCACTCCCCTTTGCCAACCAACTGTAGATGGAAACCTCCGACAATGTGAGTCAAAAGAAATCTCTCAAGGTGCTTTCCTCCTGTATTCTCCGACAGCTGCAGAAATCTAACACACACATAGGAATCAAATAAACCAAGTTATTTTCATCATACAGTGGGAAAATTGACACAAGATAAATACCATAAATGGCCCCAATCAAAACAACTGTGTGAAAGCAAAGGGGACATATGACCAACAAACAGTCCGTATCGAAAGGCAGCTGAGCATGGCACAGAGTCTTTCGTTTAAAACTACACCTGCTTGCAAAGTGTGATTCTCCGGCTTCTAATCTCAGTCTCTGGGAGGGCTGAGATTTGGCCCTCTGAATATACCTTCCTTTTTTGTAGAGAATGGCTTGCGTTTACACAAAAGGAGTCTCAGCCTGATTCATGCCTGCGTATATTTGAGGGTTCAGAGTACCTTTCCGGTTCTTTTTAAGTATGTTTCCTTTAGTCTAACCTGTATTTTCTCTGCGATTATGCCTTATTTATTTTTTCAGGTGAGAACTTTTTATTATGAGTATCAGATGATTTTGTTGACTTGCTGTTGTGTTACATCATAGAGACAGGAAAGATTTCTCACATTGTTAGCCTTATAACCCCTGATTGAGTTGTGTTTTACATTCACGTAAATATATAAATGCAACCTGCTGAATCCATTTAATGTCATGTGTATGTGTGTGTTTTTAGGGCTGACCTCTTGGTATTGGATAACCAGTTAGTGTCTCATCTCTGGGGAAGAGCGAGTCTCCCTTAATAGTCATTGACTGTAGCTCTTTATCTAGAAATAAGGCCTTGTGAGATTTCCCCTGTGCTCACTGGTGTGTCAACTGGCACTGTCATTGTTCAGGTACTGTTCGGGTTATCATAATTTTGAGATTATTCCCTTCCCTTCCCTTTCCCTCTTCTTTCTTCCTTCCTCCCTTCCTTTTTTCTTTCTTCTTTCTTTCTTCTTCCTTTCTCTTTCTCTTTTTCTTTCTTTCTTTCTTTCTTCCTTCCTTCCTTCCTTCCTTCCTTCCTTCCTTCCTTTCTTCCTTTCTTCCTTTCTTTCTTGAAACAGAGCCTCACTATGTATCTTTTGCCTGTCCTGGAACTTGCTATATAGACCAGACTGGCCTTAAACTCATAGAGATCTGCCTGCCTCTGCCTCCTGTGTGCTGGGACTAAAAGTGCAGCCTAAAAATGTCTCTTAAAAATAAGTTTTATTTTGGCAAATGGCTACCATCTGGAAAGTGTATGACTGGATAACTATCTTACTCCTTACAGCAAGATAAACTCAAAACCTACTCAAAAAAGCAGAAGCAGTATAATCTCAGGTACTACCCATTAACCCATCCTGTATGGGTTTCTGTACTTTGCCCTTCCACTTCCCGGTCCTTCACAGAATATTCACATTCTAGGGTGATAGCTTAAATTACTAACATGTGAACCATCTTTTGTGTCTGTTTTGATTTTTTTTTTTTACTTTTTGTGCCATAAGTCCATGATCAGGTGGCTCCGTTGATTATTTCAAAGTAGTATGAGGCATATATACAAAAGTCTGTAATCATAAAATAACATTAGATTAATACATCTTAGTCAATTTCAAATAATTCTATAATTTTTTTAAAAATTAACAAATGAGGGGGCTGGAGAGATGGCTCAGAGGTTAAGAGCATTGCCTGCTCTTCCAAAGGTCCTGAGTTCAATTCCCAGCAACCATATGGTGGCTCACAACCATCTGTAATGAGGTCTGGTGCCCTCTTCTGGCCTGCAGGCAGACACACAAACAGAATATTGTATACATAATAAATAAATAAATATTAAAGAAAATTAACAAATGAGAGAACCTGCCTTTTGTCTCCATGTGAACACATGTACACTAAAACAAGCCAGTCTTTGCTGCTGCATCACCGGTAGCCAAGGTTAACTAGACTAGAATCTTGCTCCACTCTTCAGTTTCTATGGTGTCCTCAGCTATGCTTTTCTTCTTTGTAACTCTGGGTGATACATGGTCTGCCCTGGTCCTGGATGCAGAAGACTAAGGCATGACTATAAAGTAACAAGGGAACACGAGTGAAATATCACGCAGTTCCATTGTTTCCCAAAGACTGGATCTCTTTGGGGGAATAGAATGGAGTTCCCAAGGGAAAAGGCATGGCAGAAGCTAGTAAACATTTTGGAGTGCCAGTTCCACACAGAGACAGCTGTTCAAGGATGACACAGCCAAACATACTTTGAAAACAACATAAGGAGGACATCAGAAAGGTCAGTTGAGTCCATGTTATTCGGATGGCATCTTCAGCTGTGATGACTATCTAATCAGATCTATGTTTTCAAGAGACGGGCTCTTTAAAATGCTAAGAACAGACTAAGGATGGGACAAGCTGGGCACAGAAGACTAGTCAGGTACCCTGATACACACAGCAGTATTTTAAATAAACGTGGTGAGCATTCACTGTTGAAGTCTAAACGAAAACTCTAGTAGGTTTGAACAGAGGGCCATGGTGACATCTCCAAAATGAGTAAACAGGCATCCTTTTTCTACTAATTTAATATTTTATGCAATTAATATTTCTCTTCATTCAAATGTCTGTTTGAATTGGGTACTGTGCAGAAAAATATAATGAACAAAACATATAAAACAATCCTCTTCCATGGGATATGGAATATATATATATATATTCACAGAAAGACTCCAACCAAAAGGGTTCCTAGACTGCCAGATAACAGCAAAGAAAATAGACAAGCCAGGCCATTGGATACATGGGAAACAAGGTCATGAGTTTTTAATGAAAGAAACAACAATTAACAAAGATTCCCTCTTTGCTTTTGTTTGTCAAATAAATTCAAGCAGTTGGGTGGGTCAGATATTATCATTTCTCAATACGTTTTATTTGCTGCTTAATATAATAAACAACATCCAAGAACACATCAAGAATTACCTGTATCTGTTGACAATATTTCTGATACTGATGAAGGGGAAGGTACACTCATCTTTCTATAAACTCTCAAATATGCTTAGATTCACATATATAATAATGTTTTTGTTGCCAAACTTAATATATAAGATGTTAAGTTAGATAATCTCTTAACCAGGTGAACAAGCCTTAGTCTCTTTGGGACCAATGATATAGTTTATAAAGTCCAGCTATTAACAGACAAGTTATAATAAACAAAATAGTCAAAATTATTGACAATTCCATAATATTGACTCTTCTTTTTGGAGATGTTGGACCACTGTCAATACTTCCTCCATAGCCCCTGTGCAGGCAGAAAGGCATGGACCACCCATAGTCACAATGGCAGTGATGTTTGTTATTACATATCCCCTTCCTATTACAAGTCTCAGGAAGACAGGAATTTGAAAGGACAGGCAGGCTGATACACTTCCTGTGTATGCAGATCTTTTCTTTTCCGCAGGTGGTGCCATCTTTCACTTCACCAACATCAGGTACACCCATCCCCAAATGATGGTCAGTACTCCAGCAGCTATCACCATTGGCATAAAACTTCTGCAAAACAGAATGAGTTGGGAGATGGAGAATGTCCTCCACGTTTGCACATAGGACTTTCCCACAAAATATATCTGACATTCTGCATTTTAGGTATTCTGTGCCATTTGTGCCACAGTGGCCAAATCTGTTTCCCTGTGAGTTCATTTCTTTGTAACAGTTATGAGATGCACTTCTTGCACCTTTGCCAAAAATCTCCCTGCATTGTTGGTCATGGTTATTACACTGCTTTTGATAGCAGTAGGCACTGACACCACAGGAGACCCCATTCTGTACATAGCCATCTTCTGGGCACTGGTGGGATGTTCCATTGCACCATTCTGGAAGGTCACATTCATTTTCTTTTGGTCTACAGAGTTCCCCTGATAGCATGAGTTTGCAGTCTTTGCAACAAAGTCCAAAAGCACATGCAGCCCCAGGCCTCAGTTTACAGTTCAACAAACAACAGGGATCTTGCTCACACTCATGTATAGATCCACAGTCACACTCCTCCTCTTTTTCAACCATACCATTCCCACAGCGCTTCACCAGAAAGACTGCCCCTGGTCTTGGATGATTGTGCAAACAAGTTCCTTGGTTTAAAGTAGTCTCCATAAAATCGCTATAGCTGCAGTTGGTGAATCTCTCTGCTGGTACTCTGAAAGTACTCATGACACAACCTCTTTCCCCACAAAAACAGGATTCTTCATCATGCTGCATACCGAAAGTATGACCTAACTCATGGGCCACAGTGTTGGCAAAAAGAGACCAGGAGTCTCCTTGGAAATTTTCCACCCCACAGTCAAGAGGAGGAGTACATATTCCTGCAACATAGGCTATACCAAGCACACTTATAAGTGAGCTTCTAATGAAAATATGGGCTGTGTCATGAGGTACCTGAGAAAGACTGACTTGTTTCCACTGAGAAAAATCTTCTAAGACCTGATGTATGTTCTCCATTGGAAAAACGTTTCCTCGATTCCAAATCTCAATGCCCATCAAAGTCACATAGGTATCCAGCTGCCGGTACATGGAATCCACCATGTTAACAATGAGAACCACATCCTCTCGTACCTTTGACAAGTTGCGTTGAGAGTAAGTGAAGAAACCATAGTCTACCACAACAGCCAGCTCCAGAAACCATGTGTCGTTCCACAATTTTCCAGAATTTTGCTTCACAGATGGCTTCTCGGGATCTTCATGTTCAAAATGTTGGTATGGCATTCTCTTGTCTGTTAAACCACACATCATAGGTGGGCATTGTGTCTTGTCATTGTTTAATGTATAAACTAGGTGTTCAAATGTGCTGGAGTGCCTGATGGGTTTGATTTCATAGGAGAAGCCATTCATTTGTAACACTCCCTGAAACCCCCCGTTGCAGGCACTGAAAGCAACTAAAGACTCGGGGGCCCCCTCTACAAAACCATGATAGTAACAGTCACTAGGGACAAAGGGATAGTCCTTAAGAAGGGCATGTTCCTCTCTATAGGTGAGCACCGAGAAGTGAGTAGAAACCAACAGCTTCTTGACTCTTATGTGGACAATATGTCTTTGGCCCCCAAACCTTAGGCTGTAGGAGAGCCATCCTGAACTTTTTATACCCCTGGCCCTGCTGGTCACCTTTCGGGGGATGACCACTTCTGGAGAACTGAGGTATTGAGTGGACCCAGTCTGTGATAGCTCACTAGAGGACAGAAACACCTTAAGGCAAAGCAACAAAAGAGTGACTCTCATGAGAACTTCAGCATCTGCATCTAGCAATATGAAGCCATCCGACCAGAGCAGAAAAAGACTGGCTAGGAGACACTCCTGTTCTGACTCTTCCCTTGGAGCTGATCAGGGAGTAGTGCTGACATTTAGAGATGGTGTCCTGACAGAGATGGACCATCAGAACTGCAGTGCTGAAAGAGAAAAGAATTCTTGGATAAGGTGAGACATTCAGGTGAGAAAATACTGAGTGATGAGTCAAGACAATGTTTATGGATTTGGTTTCAATAAATAGAGTGACGAGTTCCGGGGTGAAGGTAGAGAAAATAATGTTGGCCATATGCTAATAACCGTCAGAGTATGAAGGTACGTGCTTACACATTAGCTTATCCTTATAGGTAATACGAAAACACCCATAAGAAAAAGTGAAAGCAACAGAGTAGAGCGAGTCTATATCTTGATTTGTTTAACATAGTATTAGTTTACATTTGGGGGTCTTTGCGTAATTATTGATAGTGTCCCACTTAATGGCTAAAAGTGGAGGCATGGAAAATAACCACAACAATCTATATAAATTTGTATTGGTCTTAGGCTTTCATGAATTTTTCTCTATTTGCTGTCTTCTCATTGAATTCTCCTCTATCTATACTAGTACATTGCAAGGTCCTTACCTACAGGGTTCATAACTTTTTGTTTTTGTTTGTAGAGACAAGATTTTTCTGTGTATCTCTGGCTGTCCTGGATCTCACTCTGTAGACTAGGGTGGCCTCGAACTCACCAATATCCACCTGCCTCTGCCTTCTGAGTGCTGGGATTAAAGGCGTGCGCCACCATGGCCTGGCAGGTTATAACTTTCATTCATTTTTAACATCTTCTATAATTCTTAAATATATTTCTGTGAACCAGGAAAAGTAGAGCGATGTGGTGGAACACCTTAGATCATAAATGAATGTTCCTTAGCATGAATTAATCTTTAACTATAATTTTAGAAGAGGAAAAATTCATGAAACTCCTGTAACAATATGGGAAGAATATGCTATCTGTTACCCGGAGAACATAACAATGTCAAAAGGAAATGTCTCCAAAAGGAAAATGAGAACACATGTGACTGACAGCCCCAAGCACTGGCTGTATGATATTTTAGGGTTGCTAAAGAAGAATAGAATCCCAGTTTTTTAAGGACATATACTTTTGACAATAGAGAATTTCTGCACCTGACATGCAGGCTCACTGGAAACACATCCGTTTCTTTATTCATAAAAAAAAGAATTTCTGTGTTTAGAGAAAACAGAGTACAGGATGTTGTGCCAGACATGGGGAGAATTAAAATATAGATAATTAATATAATAGAAGTATGAATAAACTTTATGGGATCTGATTGTGTGCAAGGTTTTACATTGAATAAATTAAAGTTCTCTTGTTATTCTGAGAAAAAGTCACAAGATTGCCTCATAGTTTCAACTAACTTAAACAAATGAGACTAAGAATCACCACACCTATGTAAAAACTAGAAAAAGAGATGGCCATTTATAATACCCACTGAAGCAAACCAAACTGATCTGAAGTTAACAAGGTTCACGCTCCAGTGATCCTCATTGCAGACAACCAGAAACAACCTAAAGAAGGTCCACAATACACTTACTACAAATATACCTCATAAACAAAGACAGGATTTCTGAAATTGGGTAATATATGTATTTATCTCATTACTAATAATATGTTCTAGAGAGGCAAGTTTTTTCTAAACTATCAGAAATACTGAATAAATATTTATTATAGTAGAATGAGAAATGCTTTTTAGCTCCCCCAGTAGAAAATACAATGAAGTAGTTCTCATAAGGGAAAAGATTGGAAAATCAATAACAAAACCTATTAATAAATGTCACAACACTTGTAGATGGAACCTAAGGAGGGAGGTTCATTAGTTGAAGGTCAGCTCTTGTGACACAGTGAGGCCCCACCTAAAACAGGTAAATAAACATGAGACAATGCCTATAGTAAAGATGTGCCTAGATCAATATAAATGTTGAGGGGGGTCAAATTCCATAATACTTGTGGTGCTGTTGACTTTTTGAATTTATAAACCATACCAAGTAAATGCTCTCCTTCACACTTATTTTCCTCCTTGTAATTCTGTGTCTGCTTTCTTAAACAAGGCTCTTCATCTTATAATAACTCAGGATCAAAACTTTTATTTCACTTCTGTTTTTTTATAAAAATACCAACAGCAGTTGGTATAAGGACATTGTGTGTGTGTGTGCATGTGTGTTCACATGTACAAGCTGATGCACATCATGTCTATGTTAGGTGTCACTCTCCACCCTACTTTCTGTGACAGTGTCTTAACTCTGAAAACTCGAATCTCACTGATTCTTCTAGATTTGCTAATCAGCAAGCCCTTGCCTTCTTCCCTAACATTGAAATTACAAGTACATCCTGTTCACGCCTGGGTTCTTCATGGGTGGAGAGGGTTCAAGCTCAGGGATGTATGCTTGAGTGGCAAGCACTTGAATAACCAAGCCATCTCCCCAGCTTCAGGACATAGTTTCTCATAGCATTTTAGTTTTTGTTTTTTTGATGCACACACTTATTATATAGCCAAGGGTGGCTTCAAAATTTCTATGTAGTCCAGCCTAAATTCAACTAGTAGCCGCTACCAGTCTCTAAAGTGATGAGATTACAGGTATGCACCAGTCTTCCCAGGTTCTCAAGGCATCTTTAATCGTGCTGATATGATCAAACTTGCCTAAGGCGATCTGGAAAATAAAAATGCCTAACCAAATGCCAATCACCTTTCAAATTCCAACTCTCTCCTCACGTGTGTAAGCACCCTGATTGATTCAACCTTTTCTGTACCTCCGTATATCCTTTTATGTTTTCTAGAGTCTTCCTTTGATGACAGAGGAAAAGAAGAAGAAGAAAAAGGGTAAGGAGAAAAGGAGGGAAGAACTGTATGAGGTTGGGGGGAAGAAGGAGAGATTCAGAGAAACACTTTATTCCCAACCTCTTTAGGAAAAGTGCTCCCACCTCTGCATACCTAATTAAACTTGAGTTATAAGAGAAGTTACTGCTCCATGAAGGTTCACTACAACTCGGTCCACAGAAGCTTCATATACCATGTGGTTCAGAGCCAAGGCTCCTGTTCTCTTGTCTGTAAACAGAGACTGCACTTTTGTTTCCTGGCCACCCAGACCCAAATAATCACACAAAACAAAAATTAATTACAACACTGTTTGATGGGTGGATCATGTGTATGCCTAGATAGCTGTTACATCTTAAATTAACCTGTCTCTATTATTTTATATTTTACCACAAGGCTCGTGGTTTGTTACCTCACATCTTGTTTCTTGGGTGGCCCCATGACATCTACCTGACTCTGCCTTATTTTGCCCTGGATTCAGTTTAGTTTTCTTGCCAAGCTATATACTTCCCTGTCATGGGCCAAATTGGCTTCTTTATTAACCAATGGTAATAAAAACATATTCACAGCATACCGAGGGGAATCCCACATTGCCTGTCCACAAAGTCAATACCATCCCATTCATTCTACAGCTGACTGCACTAATCTTTCATTTTCTCTCAAACTACTTCATCATTTTGCACAAATTTCTAAGATGTCGGCTCCAGACTGATAAAATTATTCTTCGCCAAAAATTTGAACCTTGACTAATGTCAGCAAGGGAACAACACCCCCCCCAAAACTAGTTTTTAATTGCTCAGTCACAGCTATAATCTTTCCCACCCCACCCCCACATCTCTTTCTAACACACACACACACTTCTTACATCCTAAGGAACCTGCAATTCTAAGCCCTCTATCTCTGCCTTACTTTGACACATATCCCTTAAGCTAAGCGAGAACTTGAGTACTTTTCGCCTTTCACTGTGTCTCGTTTCTCTCAGTCACTTTGCCTTTATCCCTGATGCATTTGAGCCTGGCCCACCAGTTCCAGTTCTTCAACCACTACGTATCAAAATCTTTCATGCTTTAATACCCTACAACTACATTTTCTATGTTGAGCATGCCTAGAGGTCTATGTCTAAAGCCCTGATCATATGGAGGTGACATTGGAAGATGGTGTGACCCTTCTGAAGGCGGGGCTGAGTTAGAAGGATGGTCTCTGGTTCACTGAGATGTGCCTTCAAGGGAGCTCTGGAAGCCTGGCTTGTCTGCTTCCTATCATTTGCACTCCCCAACTTGGAATGAAGGTAGATTTGTTCTGCCTTTCATGTCTCACCATTTCCATTTGTCTGACCATCAGACACTGGTCATGGATTCATCATGGGTTGGAACCTAGAAAACACTGACCTAAAAGAAATCTTTTCTCCTTATAAGTTTTATTATTTGGGTTTTATGTTACAGTGACAGAAATGTAACTAAAATACCCATTTACAATACACATTGTAGGGGGAAAACTACAGAGATCCTGTCAAATTCTTTATTCCTTCATTGAAGTTATTACAAAGGCTATCCCTGAACAACACAGTTATCAAAATTTTCAAAAGGGAGTGTACAATCTGAACTGAAATGATGTGTTCTGCCTTCCCAGTCCAAGGAATAGAGACGTTAAATCAGTGTACATCCAAACCCTTTGACGCCTTGTTTATTTTCATAGATATTATATTCAAATCTCCATAATGTTCTCAATCTTCCTGTTCATGTAGCTCATGTGGAGAAAATCCATTCTCATCTAATGGATATCACAGTAAAGTTAAATCACTAACCAAGTGTACTTTAAGTATAAAGGTTTTTTTTTTTCAATCTGTCCTGGATTTGACAAATAAATACAGATTTGTTTCAGTCTGAAAATATCCTTGCCATTGACATTTCTGAAATATATTGGGTCCATTTGACTGGAATCTTTGAAAAGTATTATTTAAGAAGATGCCAACCACACACAAGACAACTGAAATTTTTTGACAGGGTTTCTCTGTTTAGTCCTAGCTGTTCTGAAAATTGCTTTATAGACCAAGGCAGACTCGAACTTAGAGATCCTTCTGCCTCTGGCTCCTGAGTGGTACTCTAATTAAAGGTATGCATCACCATGCCCAGTCTGACAAAAAAAATTATAGATAAAACCAGAAGATCAGAGATCTCTGGATTAAATTGCTGCTTCTAGATTCATTTTCTCTATATCTCTTGTTAAGAGGGCCCCTATTATGGAGTGAGAAATGTTGTGAACGGGAGGATGTTGAGTCAGAAGAGCCAATAAAAGAAAAGAGCTATGGAGAAGGATGATGAGAAATGTTGCCAGTGACTGTGTCAGAGGAGCAGGTGGCATGAGGTTGGTGTCAGCCCAGCAGGAGGAATAACCCTGGTGGGTAAGTCTCACATAGACAAGGGACCTAGACCACAGACTTCAGAATGTCTTTTGCTTCTGTTGTGCCTTCACATGTTTGCCGCTGCCATCTTTCTTTAGTATCTGACATGATGTGAATGGGTGTGGGGAGAAACCCACTGCCTGCCATGTAGTGTGTTTCTCTCATGGAAATACCCCGTTCTTTGGGGCATTTTAACCTGTGATTATTATGAAGATGGTTTCTTTTTAAGTTGTATTGTCTAATTGATAAAAATAATAATGCTAGTTTAGGTAGAGTTTTGATGATAAAATATATAAACAAGGAAGTGTCACACAGCTAGAACAGTAGAGTTTCTACTGAGTAGTCACATAGACTGTGACTTAGGTTAGTGATTAGGAAAAATAACTGAGTCCCAGTAGCCCAGCTAGCTTAAATTCTTTTAACCTTAATGTTGAAAGATGCAGTCATGTATTTTGGCGTGCATCATCAGCTGGAGCAAAGCTTTATAATAACTTCAGATTAGGTCAGGTGTTCTGATAACAGCTATGAGGTGAAAAACCCAAGAAGACAATCTGGAGTTTTAGAAAGGCACGTAGTTGTGTGAGGAACTCTTTAAGGTCAAGGAACAAGACCAAAGCAATCCAATTATTAATAGCTGATATACTTTCCTTGCTAGGGTTTGTTATTGATCAAAGGTGATGATTAATTCCTTATACCCATTTCTGCCCTCAACCTCCTGATATAAAAAAAAAAAAAACTATTACATCCTAAAGGTTTAAAGTTTAAATTCTTTTTCCTGTATAAAAGTTTAGGTTTGCAATTCCTTTAAGATTTTTTTTATAAGATTGGCTTTCAAGATAATTGGTAAAAAAAAAAAAATTGGTCTTTTCTTTGTAACTGCAAAATGCAGCCTGCCAACAAAAGACCTGACTGAGAAAAATACCTTGTTTTCCTACACAGTTAATCTGTAACAAGTTGCTTAGGTATGAATGTACTTTGGCTCTTGGGATAATTTGTTTTTCACCTGTAATACCTAATATGTTTAATCATGTAAGGAATATGGAAAACATGCTGTTTTATACTTGTATTCATTGTGATAATGACTTGAAAAACAAAAGGTAACTACATTGCAATTTTTATATTGCCTGAAAGATTTTCCTGGGGTATATAAGCTGTAAGGGAAAGAATAAAGATAGAGTTAAAATGAATAAGAATAAGAGAGTTAGAATGAGTTATAAGGAATAGAAGAAGAAGAATAGAAGGAAAACATCAAGAATGAGAGAGTTGGGAAGAGAAAATCAAGAGAGTTAGAAGGAGAAGGAAACATCTCTTCATCAAGAGAGACAGAAGGGACAATTCTGGATAGAGATAAGAAAACATAGAAAACAGAATGAAGAATAAAGAAGGAAACCATCAAGAGAGTGTGTGAGTGTCTTTTTTGCTAACCCCCTCAGATTAAAAAAAAAAAGTCTAGTATTTACCAACTCTGTGGACTTCTCTTTGCTGCTGGAGGCTGGTCCCCCAGGCAGAGATACAATGTAAACCTGCATCCCACCAATCCTTTTCCTGGAGCTTAGCTTTGGAGCAGGCAGCAAGAGGAAAAGAAATACAACCATTACAAAAGACTCTTTGCTGTCCTTGCTAGAACTACAGAGACAAAACCAATATCACTCTACTATTGATGATGCAAAGTATAGCCACAATTGCCTATATTCTTCAACATTGTCAGACTATCAAGCTTATTCCTTCACATATTATGTAACTTTCCCACTATTTCAAATTCCTGAAGACATACATGCTTTTCTCCCTTCTCTAACACCTCAGCATGCCATGCCCTGTCTGTCATTAGATAGGCACTTGTGTAAAAGCCTGATGACCTGGGCCAATTCATTTACAGAGTTCTGGCAGTAATTTAGTTGATCATGATGTGTAGTTTTTAAAAAGAAAATAATACAACTACCAGAGGGCATTCTGTAAAGTCCCCACTCATACTGATACTCAGATTGTGTCAAATAGGCGTTGGCAGGTTGAATGTGTGACTCTCGATAGTAAAAAATGAAAGATAGAAAATGGTTTTTAGGACTTTCACTTTTGAAGCCTATCTGAATCCATGCAATACTCACCTCTGTTCTATCTGACTTTTTCATTGCAGTGTCGGTGGAGAAGTGATTCTCCCATAGACTAATTTTTACCTTTATTATTATGGCAGTCAGTGTGCCGTGGCGTGCATATGAAGGTCAGAAGACACTTCACAGAGTCTCTTGTCTCCTTCTACTTTTCAATGAGATCTGAGGATCTATCCAGGTTATCAGGCCCGAATAGAAGTATCTTTGCTTGCTGAACCACTTCACCAGACCTCTCTCCTCGATTCAGGTAGTAGCCCTGTACGTTTTGGTCCATATTGTATCTCTGACCTACTTGGGGCTTGAGTCTACCAATGTTCATTACTTCTTCTGCATCTTCATCTTCTATTTTACCTGATCTTTACTGACAAGGTAATCAACCATTTCACCCAAATTTGTTCAGATCTAACCTGCTTTTAAAACTTAAAAGTCATTCTCCGTTATAGGTATGCCCTCAGTTCCAGTAAAACTACAGTGCTTGGTTACCCCACTCTCTACCCTCTACCACCTAGCTGTGTTTACATCACTCACATATTTAAAAGGAAAGAAAAGCAAAAATTCAGAAATTTCACATTATCCATTAGACCATTCTAGGTACCAACTTACACATAGAGTCAAACTGCATGAATGACCTAGAAGCAGAAAACAATCATTGCCATGGCCCTTTCTGTCAGATGGTTTGTGTGACCCCTATCAGTCAACAGAAGATTGTAGTTGTAGCCTCATAGAACAAAGAAATGCAGCCACTCCCTCACCCCCTTTGTCTATCTCATGACTAAATTCTAGATTTAGTTGCTTAGCAACAAGGATCGTTCACTTCTATATAAACAGTAACTATAGAGATCTAGCTCAATGGCAAAGTATTTGCCTAGCAAACATGAGGCTCTGGGTTTGGTTTATAGTAACAACAACAAAAATAAAATTATTTTTAAAGACAAAGTTATAAAGAACACCTAACTCCAGCATATCTTGTTCTGACCCCACTGTCCCTATACAGCTTTGTTTCAGAACTCAGTATGACAGGGGTTGGACTGCCCTCCCACTGCCCCACTTTTATCCCCTTCAGGGATCATTGATCTCTGCTTTATAGTTTTACTTATGCCGTTGCATTGACATGAATTATCAAATCACTTTTCACAAATGAAGTGGATTACGTCAACTTTCTGAACCTAGATCCAAAAGAAATTTCATTTCCATTATCAAATATTTTTCTAAATAGTCTAGATATTAGCTCTCCAACACTCTTTACAACATTATATTCTATACATTTTGTGTTATAAATGTATAAAATGCTGCCACCTGTTTTACATAAAAGCTTTTTGGATTGATTTTAGAGAGTTTGTAGCCTCAAAACTTATTATGTAGCATGGTCTAACATCAAACTTGCAGTGACTCTCCTGCCTCTGCCTCATGGGTGTTGAGATTATAGGTCTCTAGCATGCGCGCATGCACACACACACACACACAGACACACACACACACATTATTACAGAACCTTTAACTACATCTACTATTAAAATGACTTTGAGAAAAAAAGTTTCAAAATAAATGTCAAGAAATTTTTGTAGACTGTTTGACATGATGTGTAATCTATAACATTGGTTTAAATATTTGTTAACTTTAGTTCTGGAATGGTTTCATACTTAAGTATTCTTATTCACTGAAACCTCCCCCCCCCCCCGCTAATTTAATTCGTAGACTAATAGCTAATGAGATAATCTTAAATTAGAAGCATTATCAATCAGTTCTTTACTTCTCCACAGAAACTTCTCTGAAACTATATTAGCCATCTAAACAGAACTAGAGACTCCTTAATCTTTGGAGGGGTAACTATTAACAGTACTTTCAGCTTCTTTCTGTGAATAAAATCTTTTCCTTTGCCAGAAATGATTAACAATGAAGGAAACTATATCAGTTTTTTGCTTGTTTCTCTGATTGTGATCAAACATCTGAAAAAAAGAGGCTAAAGATGGATGCTATAAAATAATCCCACACTAGCTCATAATTGAGTGTATCAAAGGGTTATATATTTAGGGGTAGACTCACAGATCACAGTCCTCTGTATGAATGGTGAACAGGAACCAAATTCAGCAGCAGCAGCAGCAGCAGCAGCAGCAGCAGCAGCAGCAGCAGCAGGAGAGAGAGAGAGAGAGAGAGAGAGAGAGAGAGTGCATGCATGCCTTTATGTTGGCATTTATAGTATAAGAGGCCATGCCCAGTGGGCTGGTATCTTGAAGACTACTGACTGAAGGAGTTCCCATAGTACCTTCCCCTTTTGTTTAAATAAAAGAGTTCTATGCCTAATACAAAACTATATAAATAAGAACAAATATCAAATATAAAAAATTGAATTATAACCAGCAAAAACAATATCAAACAAGAAACATATGGTATATGTTTTAATAATTATCCTATTCTAAGGAGTCTAAGTCTTATGTTAGAAATAGCTTGGCCAAGCCATGAGAGGAAAGTAACTATGACTATGTAGTCTTCAACCCTGTCTTGAAGTAGACAGGAAATACAATCAAGCAACTTCCAAAATGTGCAATAAATGACAGAGACAACTGGCTACATGGGCAATCACCCAAAGTCTCATTTGCAATGTTGGAACAACCAACTTTGGCTAAAGCCTAGCTAGAGTAACTGACAAATCATTTTCAAAGGCAGGAAAATTTTCAGAACCATTTTAACCTGTCTTGGAAAGGTTTGGCAGCTTTTTTTCTTGTATCCTGCTTGTCCGGTCTAGACATTCTGCATTTTGTCAGTAGATGAGGCATGAGCAGTTCCTTACGCAAAGGCCAGTTTTGCCAAGAAGACAGTAAGCTCCAAGTGGAGTGTCTTTGGTATTCAGTATTCTCTTGGGAATAGATCAGTGCTTCCAGGAGCAATTGTGTCTCACATCAACAGAACCCTAAGTTATTTAAATGCCATATTCTACAGTTCTTTGATGTGGTTGAAGATTACCTATTTATGCAGAATACAACCTCTAATATATCTAAGAACCTGATTAGTCTAACTATAAGTATGATAAACATGGATGACTATAGATCTGTAATACTTAATACCTATATAACTTAAAGACTAAGACTTCATATTAGAATATTAAACAATCTTTAAACAACTGTGCAACAAATGAAGACAATGACCTCAAAATTTAATCAATGGGGGGCTGGAGAGATGGCTCAGTGGTTAAGAGCATTGCCTGCTCTTCCAAAGGTCCTGAGTTCAATTCCCAGCAACCACATGGTGGCTCACAACCATCTGTAAAGAGGTCTGGCGCCCTCTTCTGGCCTTCAGGCATACACACAGAATATTGTATACATAATAAATAAATAAATAAATAAATATTAAAAAAGTTTAATCAATGTATAAGTGTCTTGATCAGAGGTAGAAATGTATAGTGCAATATGATAAATATATTCTAAAGTTATATCAATATACAAAATGTCTTAAGCAGAGGTAGAAGCATCTATGTATACAATATGACAGAAATAATTTTGTCTAGGTGTACGAATATTGCAAACAGAAATAGGAGCATATTGAATTTGTATCAATACACAAGAATCTATACCAATGTAAATTGCCTATAAATAATAGCTCACAAGGATTCACTCTATTACTCACTATTATAATTAGTGTGAGTAAGCTCATACTAATCCACCTATTATCCCATACGATTTCCCTTTTTTTCCCAAAGAGATCCCTGAGCCTACATAATTTCCACCCTAACCCCCAACCCTATACCAACTATAATCATTCCCTAATTGATGTTCCTAACCCTGAAGACAAACTTTGTTGGGAGAGGGTACATTGTCTTCTATAATTACTTCCAGCTGTCATGGGGGCAATGTTCTTTCTATGGGATCCTGTTAAAGTAAAATGATGATTAAGTTTCAAGAGTGCTGTCTGGTATAATTGCAAATACTTTCTGAGTACTCATTAGGGTTTTTCTGAAGTTCTTATTTGAAGTTCTAGGCAGAATATTGTAAGAAGCTGCACCATTTCAGCTAACCAAGTTAGAATCACTTTGAGCAGCTTGTACCCAAAACCAGTCTTAAAGTAGCGCTGCCAACATCATGACATCATATCAACCAGATGGAATTGTTGTTGTGGGGCCCCATCTTCTTCCTGGAAAAACCAAAGATTACTGCAGGAAAATTCATTGTCAGTTGTGAAAACTTAAACATTATTTATATAGACATATACTCAATGAAAGGTACAATAGAGACAAAAATAGGTATGGAGAAAAGTAAAACTTTTCCTAAATTCTTTCTTCTTTCTGTGTCATACCAGATGGCTCCTAACATGAGACAGAATCTCTGAATTTTTCTTTTAACAAGATGTATGGATTTAGAGAAGGATAGCCACTATCCAACTCCAAAACCAGCTCTCTGTTTTTTAAGTAGAGATAAATACATGTTCAGATAATCAAATTTTACCATTCAGATGATACAGCATCATGAGTCAAACTTCTCTTTGCTTGTTGATTCTTTCTGAATAGCTATCTTTTCTCCTTTAGGCATCTAGATGGTGTCTCTCAACTCTTTGAAGATGAGTATTTTCCTGCAAAGACAAGAATAGAACCCTGCCCCAACTCTTATGAGGTTTCCTTACCACCAGTCACCTCTGTGGATGAGCTGTCAATTCTTTTTCTCAAGAGGTTTCTCTTTTTAAAACCAAATCTTTATTAATTTTGATGGTATACAGAGTTTTTCTTCTCCCATAGAAACAAGAGTAAAAACCCCTTCCCTAACTTAGCACATCTCCTGGTTTCCATTGTGAGGTCAACACATCCTTGAAATACACCAGCTGATTTAATTCAGAAGTTTTTTCCATTATCCAATGTCTCTCTGCTGCCATTGTTCCTTTCTCATTAGCATTAAGGAAGTTCAAGCTTAATAAAGCATTATTCAATCATTTCTGGGGGTATTTTTCATCCATTTCTGTTTAACATATCTTTTATAGTTTGATTTTACCTTTCTATAACTGCATGACCTGTAGGATTGTTTGGTATACCTGTAATATGTTTTATGTTATAATAAGCAAAAAAATGTTTAATTTTCTTAGAGACATATGCTGGAACATTATCTGTCTTTATTTGTGTGGGTATATCCATGATAACCATAACTTTTAATAAATGCATGATTACTGAATCAGCTTTTTTTGAGCTCAAGGACCTGCCCATTGAGAGCCTGAATAAGTGTCAATGGTGTGGTGTACATATTTTAATTACCCAAATTCTGTAAAGTGAAACACATCCATCTGCCAGATTTCATTCCTTTGAGTACCCTTTAGGTTACTCCCTGCAGGTAGCAGTGTTTGGTTATAGAAAGAGCAGGTAGGACATTTCCTTATAATCTCCTTAGCACGTTGCCATGAAATAGAAAACTCTCTTTAAAACCTTTGCTTATTGGCATGATGTTTTATGAAATTCTGAGACCTTCAACACATCTTCAATCAATAATCGATCAATTTGTTCATTACCTTGTGCAAGAGGAGCAGGCAGACCCAGATGGGATCGGATATTTGTTATGTGTATGGGACAACACCTATTCCTGATTATATCTTGAACCTAAATGAATAATGAAGTCAATTCTGTATCATCTTGTATAAATTCAGTATTTTCAATACACAAGGCAACTCTTTCTGCATATTGTGAATCAGTAACTATATTGAGAGTTTCTTTAAAATCCCTCAGTACCATGAGAATAGCATATAATTCTGTCTTTTGGACAGAATTACAAGGGCTTTGTTCTACTTAAGTTAAATCTTCTGATTTGTAACCTGCCTTTCCTGATTTATTTGCATCAATATAAAATGTACAGGCTCCAGTTATTGGTGTGTCATGTACAATGTGGGGAAGGATCCAAGTAGTTCTCATTATAAGGTTAGTTCTATCTATTTTGATTGCTATTAATAGATTAATAGATTGCTATTAATCTCTCCTAAAAAGTTGGCACAAGCTTTTTGCCATGCTTCATTGTCTTTCCATATTTTTTAAAATTTTATCAGTAGTAAAAGGCACTATAATCTCTGCTGGGTCAATACCTGCTAGTTGATGAAGTCTCAATTGTCCTTTTATTCAGAGACCTTTGCCATATAAGACTTAAATTTTTTACTTAGTTTATGTATAAAAAGATCCATTAAAAGAGAATATCTTCCTTCTGCATTAAAATTACTGTAGGGGAAATTCTGGAAGGCAATATGCAATTAAGATTTGGATTCACTTGATCCACATGTGCCTCCTGCAATTTCTCTTCAGCCACAGTTAATTCTTTCTCAGCTTCAGCTGTTAATTCCCTGGGACTATTTAAGTCTTTGTCACCATCTAAGGTTTTGTTTAAAGAATTATTAGATCAGCTGTTATCCCAATAGCTGGTCATAGACTAGAAATGTTTCCTAACAATCTTTGAAAATCATTAAGAGTCTGCAATTGGTCTCTTCTAATTTGTGGCTTTTGTGTTCTAATTTTCTGTAAACATACTTTATAACCTAAGTAATTGTCATAATCTCCTCTTTTTTTCAGGAGAAATATGTAGTCTCCATTAAGGAAAAAATTTCTTTACTGCTTCAAACATTGTTCCTAAAGTATCTACGTTTGAATCAGATAGCAAAAAAAAAAAAAAAAAAAAAAAAAAAAAATCAGATGACATTATATGTCATCCATGTAATGATAAATTATAGATTTAGGAAATTGTTTACATTAGTATTATTTCCAATGGCTGACTTACAAAGTATTGGCACAGAGTGGGGCTATTGAGCATTCCCTGTAAGAGGATGGTCCATCGATATCTCCTATTATAAGTAGGCACCATGAAGGCAAATTTTTTTCTCTGTCCTTTTTTTTTGTAAAGGTATAGTGAAGAAAAAAATCTTTTAAATCAGTAACTATAAGAGACCATCCTTTAGGTAATAGGGAAGGCAAAGGAATTCCAGATTTTAGGGGGCCTATAGGTTGAATTGCCTTGTTGACAGCTCTTAGACCTGTCACCATTCTATGTTTTCCTGATTTCTTTTTAACAACAAATACAGGAGAATTCCAAGGACTGGTTGATTCTTCAATATGGCAAGCATTTAATTGCTCCTTTACCAGCTTTTCTAAAGCTTGAAGTTTCTCTTCTGCTAAAGGTCATTGTTTAACCCATATTAGTTTCTCAGTTAACCATTTTAAAGGTAGGGTTGTTGGCACCTCTAAAAGTTTGCTAGTTACTCAGTGTTCTTATATAGCCTGAATGATGACCTTTGTGTATAGTACCTTATAATATTCTTCCCAGAAACCTAAGCCTTTTGAACTTCAGAAATGTTAATCTGAGTATTCTATTGTTGTAGCAGGTCATGACCCCTTAAATTTATCTGCAATATTAGCCACATATGGCCTCAGAATTTCTCTTTGTCCTTCTGGCCCTGTGCATTCAACTCATCTCGAGCTTTGTTTCACTTGAGATGGGGTTCCAACTCCTAGGAATTGAACATCTGCCTCCTGAAAAGGGCAATTCAGATGTCAAGATTTTGGAGTAATGATAATCACATCTACACCCATGTCTAGTAATCCCTCAATTACATTGTCATTTATACACACTCTTAGCTTTGGTCTTTGATCATTTATAGAAGTCTGCCACAATATGTTTCCTATTTTCTATTGGAATTTTTGATTCATCTGCCATATTTATCCCATCATCCAGAGCAGTATGCAACAGATTTTTAAATTTTTATGATAAGATCTGTCCTCCACAGTGACTGAAAATGACTGGATCATGTTTGACTTGGGGGCCTGTGAGAGACCCCCGAGGAGTTTCCTGATGGTATTGGATTGCCTTGCCTGTCTTTTGTTGATCTACATTCATTGATCTAATGTTGACCTCTGCCACATTTTCTGCATAATCCAGAAGGTTGAGACATTGTATTTTTGCCATTCCCAGAGGAGACATTTGCTGTGGGACGTCCTTCATCCAATAGTCTTTAAAATACCAGCCCGCTTGGGTGTGGTCTCTTATACTATAAATGCAGCTGTAAAGCCTGCACTTGTTTTCTCGCTTCTGACTGCTGGATTCAGCTGCTGTTCCCCATTCATGCAGAGGACTGTGATCTGTGAGTCTACCCCTAAATAAATAATGCTTTATTATGCATAATTTTGAACTAGTCTGGGATTATTTTGTAACTTCCATCATCAGACATTATTCTAGGAATTCTTTGTCTACAATCCCTTCTCAGATGTCCTATTCTACCATGTAAAGCTAACCTTTACATGGGCATTTATAGGATAAGAGGTTATGCCCAAGTGGGCTGGTATCTTAAAGACTGCTGTCTGAAGGTGTTCCCACATCAAGAGGCTTAAAAGAGGAAAGATGTGTTTGGCTTACAGTTTTAGAAACATCAGTCCATCATGGAGAGGGTGTGGCAGGACAGGGCAGTTTTTATCAAAGTGGCCAGAAAGCAGAGCCACTGATTGCAGAAAGGGGCCAGGACAAGAAACAGCATCAAAGGTATACCCCATGACCATTAGGTCCAACTAGGTCCTACCTCCCAGTGATTCCATTAAATTATCCATTTTAGAGGATTAATGTACTCATTAGGTCAGAGCCATGATAATCTAACCATTTCCAGAAATGCTTTCAAATACATAGCAAAATGTATGCTTTATTAATCATCTAAGCACTTGTTAAGACTAGCCAGGTTGGCCATGGTATAAGCACACCTTTAATCTCAGCACTCAGGAGGCAGAGGCAAGTGGATCTCTGTGAATTTGAGGCCATTCTGGTCTACAGAGTGAGTTCCAGGAAAGCCAGTGCTGTTACACAAAGAACTACCTTGTATCAAAAAAAAGGGAAAAAAGGTTACTCCAGGTTGACAAAACTATGACACACAAAATAGAAGTAGAAGAATTGCAAACTACATAGACTCAACTCCAGAAGAATTCAGCAACTCTTCTGTAGTGCCAATCTGCAAAGAAACTCTACCTTGGGAAAACAATTACAGCAGAAGACTGGGGATTTGGCTTCCCACAGACATAGTTAAGTAGCAATGTGCAATCCATAGGTGAAATAGCAGAGAACCCTTCCAGAAGCAGTTTCTTTCCAGCTTAGGAAGGATTCAGATTTATTCCTTTAGAAAGTCACTGTGGTGGACTTTTGATTTAAACTGGCTAGAATAGGCACACTGCTCCAGTAGTCCTGATAAAATCAGACAAGAATACTGGAGTTTCTATGTGAAGCAAATTGAGTAGGGTTGATAAGATGGAGAAAAGAAAACAGACTGGCTAGGTGCATTGGGAGCTGTAGAATAATGTGCAAGTTGTAACCCTGACATGATAACAAACATCCCCCTATGTGTGAGGTGTGGGGTGGGTTTCAAGTCTCAGCTCCTCACATAGCTTTGCTGGTGAAATTGTATGTGGAGCTGTCATTTTTCTTGTGCTATTTGCCTAGTAGATGGTTGTATTCCAAAAGGATTGTGCCACTGTATTTAATCTGTTTTTGAATTTTTTTAGTGGAAGAAAGAAAACTTTTCTACTAATTTCAAGTGGCAAATGGTGGTCCACACATGAACTCCTAGAAATTGAGTGGCTAAGGCAGAAGGATCACAAAGCCTAACCTAGACTACAAATTCAAGGCCAGTTTTCACTATATGCTGAGACCCTGTCTCAACGAAGTTTTTAAGTCTGAATTCCTTCCCAGTATAAAAGACATCAAACAGAGCTGGGGGTGTTGACTTATTTGGCGAAGCACTTGCTGCACAAGTATGAGGACCTGGGTTAGATATCCAATGCCCTTGTGAAAGTAAGATTTAGAAACACAGGCTTGGACTCTCAGCACTAGGGAAGGAAAGGCAAGTACACTTTGAAGCTTACTGGCTAGCCAGTCTGGCTGGATTGGTGAGTTCTAGGTGCATTGGGTGCATTGGGAGCACTACAGAGATATTGTCTCACAAAACAAGGTGTAGAGGTTGGAGAGATGGCTCAGCTGTTAAGAGTACCGGCTACTCTTACAGGAAACACATGTTTGATTCCTAGAACCCCCACAAGAGCTCACAACCATCTATAACTCCAGTT